CTGGTTCCCCCCCAGGGGCAGCCATAGGGGCGGGTGGGGCCGTCACGTCCCAAGGTGTGGTTGATGTCCCTGTTGTCGTTGCTGATGTCATTGCTGATGTCACCACAGCCGCCGCAATGTCCCCGCCGGTGCCAGCGCTGACCCCGGAGCAGAAGCAGGAGCTGGCGACCATCGCCCAGCGTATCGTCGCCCCCGGGAAGGGTATCCTGGCTGCCGATGAGTCCACTGGTGGGTGACTGGGAGGGCACTGGGAGGGGGCTGGGAGGATATTGGGGCACACTGGGAGGCACTGGGAACTACTAGGAGGGGATGAGGAAGCACAGGGAGAGCGCTGGGAGTGTACTGGGAAGGGAACTGGAGCACGCTGGGAGATTAGGAGGCACTGGGAGCTACTCGGAGGGACTGGGGCACACAGGGAGGGTATTAGGAGGGTACTGGGAGGCACTGGGAGCTACTGGGACAGCATCAGGCAGCTACTGGGAGCTACTGGGATCCACTGGGAGAGCACTGAGAGCTACTGGCATGCACTGCAAGGACACTGGGAGTTATGGGGCGCTACTGGGGAAGCACTAGGAGGACACTGGGAGTTACTGGGGCTTCCTGAGAGCTACTGGGGCTTACTGGGAGCGCCTAGGAGCTACTGGGACTTACTGGGAGCTACTGAGGCAGCACTGGGAGGACACTGGGAGTTACTGGGAGACATCAGGGCTGGACTGGGAAGTACTGGCTGCTACTGGGAGGCACTGGGGCAGCACCTGGGGAGTACTGGAAGCAACTGGGAAGCACTGAGAGCTTGCCAGGAGCCTGGCCAAGCACTCCAGTGCCATGAGGTGCTACTGGGGGGTACTGGAAGGCACTGGGACAGTACCAGGAGACAGTGGGGGTTACTGGGCTATACTGGGATGAACTGCTTTATACTGGGATGGTTGCAGGAAGCATGGGGAAGCAGCTGAGCACCTCAAGGTGGCACCAGGAGGGTCCTGAGAGCTACTGGGACTGAACTGGGAGGCACTGGGGCAGCACCAGGAAGGCAATGGGCCGTACTGGGCTATACTGGGAGTAACTGGTTTGGACTGGGGTGACTGTAGGCAGCATTGTGAAGAGTCTGAGCACCTCGAGGTGATACCAGGAGGGCCCTGAGAGCTTCTGGGGCTGCACTGGGAGCTACTGGGAGGCACTGGGACAGCACTCTGAGACCAGTGGGGGTTACTGGGCTATACTGAGATGAACTGGTTTGTACTGGGATGGTGGCTGGGAGGATGGGGAAGCAGCTGAGAACTTCAAGGTGGCAGCAGGAGATTCCTGGGAGCTCCTGGGGCTGAACTGGGAGCTACTGCGACGCCTTGGGGCAGCAGCAGGAGACCAGTGGGGGTTACTGGGCTATACTGGGATGAACTGCTTTATACTGGGATGGCTGCAGGCAGGATGGGGAAGCAGCTGAGCACCCTGAAGTGGCACCGGGGGGACCCTGAGAGCTCCCGGGCTGGCACTGGGAGCTACTGGGACACCTTGGGGCAGCAGCAGGAGGCCAGTGGGGGTTACTGGGCTATACTGGGATGAACTGCTTTATACTGGGATGGCTGCAGGCAGGATGGGGAAGCAGCTGAGCACCCTGAAGTGGCACCGGGGGGACCCTGAGAGCTCCCGGGCTGGCACTGGGAGCTACTGGGACACCTTGGGGCAGCAGCAGGAGGCCAGTGGGGGTTACTGGGCTATACTGGGATGAACTGGTTTATACTGGGGTGGCTGCAGGGAGCACGGGGAAGTAGCCGTGCACCCCGAGGTGACCCCTGAGAGCGCCTGGAGCTGCACTGGGAGCTCCTGGGACACCCTGGAGCAGCATGAGGCCATAATGCCATATACTGGGCTGAACTGGGAGTGACTGGTTTGTACTGGGACGGCTGCAGGCAGCATCGCCAAACGGCTGAGCTCGGTGGGGGTGGAGAACACAGAAGAGAACCGGCGCTGGTACCGGCAGCTGCTCTTCACCGCCGACAGCCGCGTGGACCCCTGCATCGGCGGAGTCATCCTCTTCCACGAGACCCTCTACCAGAAGGCGGACGATGGGCGTCCCTTCCCCCAGGTCATCCGCAGCAAGGGCGCCCTCGTCGGCATCAAGGTGGGGACACCTTGGGGACATCGGGGGGACACCTTGGGGACATCGGGGGGACACCGGGACATCTGGGGGACACAGGGACATCGGGGGGACACCGGGGGCGTTGGGTGCTCCTTGAGCCAGGTCAACCACCTCAAAGGTGGAACCGGATCAGCCACCTCAAAGGTGGCTTCATCAGGTGCCATTGTTGGTGTCGTGGTGGGGACACCTTGGGGACATCAGGGGCGTTGGGGACAATGTGGGGGCGTTGGGAGCTCCTTGAGCCAGGTCACCTCCATCAAGAGGGTCTTGTTGGCATCAAGGTGGGGACCCTGAGGAGGATGTGGGGACATCGAGGGCATTGTCCCTTTCAGGGGGACACTGGGGACAGGAGGGACACTGGGGACGTGGGGAGGTTGGAGGGACACGGGGACTTGGAGGGGACACGGGTGACACGCGGGGTGTGGGGACGCAGGTGAGGAACGGGGGGACCTGGGGACAAGGTGGGGACCGGGCCGGTGACCCTGGTGACCCTGTCCCCATCCCCCAGGTGGACAAGGGGGTCGTGCCCCTGGCTGGCACCAACGGCGAGACCACGACCCAGGGTGAGTGACAGCCGTGTCCCCACAGGTGGCCCCAGCCACCTCCCCATCCCTGATTCCATCTGCAAGACCCGTCGGTGTCCCCATCCCTGATGCCACCATGATGTCCCCATCCCTGATGCCACCACGGCGTCCCCATCCCTGATTCCATCTGCAAGACCCGTCAGTGTCCCCATCCCTGATGCCACCATGATGTCCCCATCCCTGATGTCCCCACAACGTCCGCAGGGCTGGACGGGCTGATGGAGCGCTGCGCCCAGTACAAGAAGGACGGGGCCGACTTTGCCAAATGGCGCTGCGTCCTCAAGATCACCGCGCACACGCCCACGCGCCTGGCCGTCATGGAGAACGCCAATGTCCTCGCCCGCTACGCCAGCATCTGCCAGCAGGTCCTCGTCCCCTCCCCGTTGTCCTCCCTGTCCCCAACCCCATCCCCGTGTCACCTCCGGGTGCCCTACGGTGGTTGGTGGCCTCTGACCTGCAGGGTGATGCCACAAGGTGGCACCTAGACGTGGTGTGGTGGCACCTAGACATGGCATGGTGGGACATAGAGATGGTATGGTGGCACCTCCATGTCTTTGGGTCACCTCACTGTGTCCCCACGTCATCCTTGTTGTCACCTCCAGGTGCCCTATGGTGGTTGGTGGCCTCCGACCTGCAGGGTGACACCACAAGGTGCCACCTAGACGTAGCGTGGTGCCACCTAGACGTGGCATGGTGGGACGTAGAGATGATGTGATGGTACCTAGCCATGGTGTGGTGGCACCTCCGTGTCCTTGGGTCACCTCACTGTCCCCACATCATCCCTGTGTCACCTCTGGGTGCCCTACGGTGGTTGGTGGCCTCCAACCTGCAGGGTGACACCACAAGGTGGCACCTAGACGTGGCGTGGTGGCACCTAGACGTGGCGTGGTGGGACGTAGAGATGGTATGGTGGCATCTCCATACGCTTGGGTCACCTCAGCGTGTCCCTACCTGTCCCCGTGTCACCTCCCTGTCCCCAACCCCATCCCTGTGTCCCCTCCGGGTGTCCTGTGGTGCTTGGTGGCCTCCCAGCTGCGGTGGGTGTCCCCCAGACGTGGCACGGCGACACGAGGTGGCACCGAGACGTGACACGGCGTCACCGCCTCCGCGTCCCCTCCTGCCACGTCCTGGCCACCACCGTGTCCCCGTCCCCGTGTCCCCGTGGGGTGTCCCCAGCGTCCCCTGTGTCCCCACAGAACGGCATCGTCCCCATCGTGGAGCCCGAGATCCTCCCAGATGGTGACCACGACCTGAAGCACTGCCAGTACGTGACCGAGAAGGTGGGTGACGTCCCCCCCAACGACGCGTCCCCCAACGACGCGTCCCCCCCGACCGTGTCCCCAACGTCCCTGTTGTCCCCAGGTGCTGGCGGCCGTCTACAAGGCGCTGAGCGACCACCACGTCTACCTGGAGGGGACGCTGCTGAAGCCCAACATGGTGACACCGGGCCACGCCTGCACCAAGAAGTACAGCCCCGAGGAGATCGCCATGGCCACCGTCACCGCCCTGCGCCGCACCGTGCCCCCCGCTGTCCCCGGTCAGTGCCACCTGGTCCCCGTGGTGTCCCCATGCTCATGGCCATGTTCTCATGGTGTCCCCATGCTCATGGCCGTGTCCCCGTGGTGTCCCCATCCCCATGGCCGTGTCCCCGTGGTGTCCCCATCCCCATGGCTACATCCTCATGGTGTCCCCATCCCCATGGCTACATCCTCATGGTGTCCCCATGCTCATGGCCATGTTCTCATGGTGTCCCCATGCTCATGGCCGTGTCCCCGTGGTGTCCCCATCCCCATGGCCGTGTCCCCGTGGTGTCCCCATCCCCATGGTCGTGTCCCCATCCTCATGGCCATGTTCTCATGGTGTCCCCTTCCCCATGGCCGTGTCCCCGTGGTGTCCCCATCCCTGTGGCCATGCCCACATGGTGTCCCCTTCCCCATGGCCGTGTCCCCGTGGTGTCCCCATCCTCATGGCCGTGTCCCCGTGGTGTCCCCATCCTCATGGTCGTGTCCCAGCCTGTCCCCATCGCCGTGTTGCTATCCCCACGGCCACGTTCTCCTGGTGTTGGTGTCCCCGTCCCCATCGCCGTGTCCCCATCCCCGCGGCCACGTTCTCCTGGTGTCCCCATCCCCGCGGCCACGTTCTCCTGGTGTCCCCGTCCCCATTGCCATGTCCCCATCCCCGCAGCCACGTTCTCCTGGTGTTGGTGTCCCCGTCCCCAGCGCCGTGTCCCCATCCCCGCGGCCACGTTCTCCTGGTGTCCCCATCGCCGTGTCCCCATCCCCATGGCCACGTTCTCCTGGCGTCCCCGTCCCCATCCCCACGGCCACGTTCTC